CATGGGTAGGCATTATAAATTGCGCCTTGTGAGCTGCCAGCGCGTCCTACTTTCCTCGTCGTCAGCGGCCGGCACTGTATGTGTTACTTGCGTTGTGCTTTCGCTCTTGTGTTGGGCTGAAAAGTGAAGATGTGGTAGCCTATCCTAAACCACACACAACGTGCTAACCGCCACGTAAAAAAAAAAAAACTACGATATCCCTGTGGCATCACTTCGTGACTTGACCTTGGCCATAAATCTCCTTTACTTGTCAGCATAGGTTAGCTGACATACATACATACATACATACATGCATACATACAGGGGCTGAGCAGTCTTGCTTTTGTGAAAGGCCACCCCTCCCTAGACGGCCCTTTTCAGGGCCCGCCCAAAAAATGTCAGCAGTTCTGAAACCAGTGAGGTTGCAGAAGAGACGTATTAACCGTCTCTCAATGTCGCCTGCTACGAAAGAGAGCTTCATACTTTCGCGTCGGACCTGGAACGAACGGGAGCCGCTTTTCCGCGCTCGGTGTGTGTATAGACAGCGGAAGCAAAGGAACATATATCCCAACACGCCTACAACATAGTACAGCCTGTTGGAACCGGCCACGCATGAATGGGAGCCGGCACGAAATCTCGCGCCCTGTGAGATGCGGTGAGTTTCGTGATAAACACCCAAATGAGAAAATGTATCCTTGCGCATGTCCTCCGCTACAGGTCAGATGATCTACGTGTCGGAGTGCGACTGCATCCTCTTCATGTGCTCTCCAAGTGTGATGAACCTGGACGACATCAGTAGGCGGGGCTTGTATTTGAGTGACATCCCGCTCCACGACGCCACGAGAGAGCTAGTGCTACTGTCCGAGCATTGGGAGGCCGAGTACAAGCTAGCCCAGAACCTGGAGGTCCTCACTGACCAGTTGCAACTGACCTACAGAGACCTAGCTGACGAGAAGAAGAAAACTGACAGGTAATTTTCATCAAACCAGCCCGCTCCTCTCTTCTCTGAATGACGAACAAAAAAACTAAGAACAATAGCAGGCACAAAGAAAAAGAAAAGTCGGGAGATGTGAACCAGCGTCATTGCACTCGGTTATAAACCATAAGTGCTCTGCCACCAGTACGGATAGCTGATAAGAATTGTCCACTTGTGTCGCCGTTCGCACGTAACTCTGTAGCTACAGCGACGTTCCTCCATTTATCCCAGATTGTCAACTCTGGTACCCATTTCCTAGAGGCTGGGTGAACCCCGGGAGCCGCCCGGTTTCGAACACCGACCGTGGGCTGCAGCGAGTCGCAGCTGGATTTGAAAGCGAGCCTCTTATTGACTGCGCTGACGCGGCTTCTGCAGGCATAATACCGGTCAATGCTTCGATAGAATCTGGACGGACAAACGGTTTGATCATCTTGTTAGAATGAGGGAAAAAATCGACCAACGGCAATAGTGTAATAGACGAGAGCAGCGGGCTAAATCCCCCCTCCACCCCCACCCCCCCCCCCCCCCCCCCAAAAAAAAGCCAAACAAGAAAGACATTGGTGGAGAGAGTAAATGGGACACTTCAGAAACGCAGTATGACATTACCACAAGCTATGCAACTGGCACAGGACAGGAAACTTCAGCTAACTTCTCAACCATTTGTCCATCTGTCCGAGGTCTGCCCGCCTTCCAAACTATCCCTACCTATATACCCATCTATTAACCTGCATATCTATATGTGTATTCTTATCGTTTTAATTATATTAAAGAAATGAAGTTGAGAGAGAGAGAGAGAGAGAGAGAGGGAGAGAGAGAGAGAGAGAGAGAGAGAGAGAGAGAGAGAGAGAGAGAACGAATGAATGAATCAGTCAATCAACACTTGACAACACTGAATACACTCGGACATTTAAACACGTGCTCCGTCTCCTTCCTCAGCAGCCATCGAAAAGTCGAAAAGCTAATAGTAAAAGGTCTAACCTGTTTAAAAGTCCATGTTCCCCCTCAGTGTTAAATACCTTCTAGAACCTGCAATCATCGCCTTGTATTTGTCTTTAAATGTAGGAATTGTCTGTTCCTTGCATGTCCATTTTATCCCAGAGACCCTTACCCAATAAAGTAGCTCACCACCCAGAGGAGAGTCAACATCCTGTCTATCAGGATGCTTTTTACCCCGCACCCACGAATTTCTTCTGCCCAGAGAATTCACTACTGTCTGCGAAGCCACACTGTATGTAAAGTTTACATGCCCCAGCACATTACAAAAACATGTAACAACCCATCTATGCATGGGATCAGGAAAGATACATGTAGAGAAAACATAAACATGAAATAACACAACTATTCATGGGATCAGGAAAGATACATGTAGAGAAAACATAAACAGTTAATAACACAACTATGCATGGAATCAGGAAAGATACATGTAGAGAAAACATAAACATGAAATAACACAACTATGCATGGGATCAGGAAAGATACATGTAGAGAAAACATAAACATGAAATAACACAACTATGCATGGAATCAGGAAAGATACGTGTAGAGTAAACACAAACATTCATGAAAGCTACATGTAGAGTAAACACAAACATTTAAACACAACTATGCATGCAATCATGAAAGATACGTGCAGAAAATACAAACGCTGACAACCATTTATCGACTGACTGACTGACTGACTGACTGACTTTCTACCCCACTAGGACATCACACAAGCGATACACACCCGATGACACAAAGTGCCACCATGTGGATGAGGATCACCGTGGAGAGGTCCCAGAAACCGCGTTCAGACAATTGGCCATATTCATGGCCTGCCTATATTGCGGCCCCTGGCAAAAGCCAGGATGAGGCTTCAAATAACAACAAATTTCATCCTAAAAAGGACGTATTGATTTTAAAAATCATTTATCCCTTCTCCCAGACTAATGTACTCTATCCTGCCTCCCTCGGTGGCCAATGAATTGCGTCACAGACGTCCGGTCAACGCCAAGAAGTACTCTGACGTGTCGCTTCTGTTTAGGTAAGGGCTTCTTCAACCTCTTCAGCTGTTTTCTTTAGGCTGTTTTCTGCACAAAAAGGCTGTTTATTGCATGAGAAGGCTGTTTGTTGCATCAGATGGCTTTTTGTTGCATCAAATGGGTGTTTTCTGCACAGAAAGGCTGTTTATTGCACTAGAAGACTGTCTGTTCCGTGAGAAGGATGTTTGATGCATCAGAATTCTGTTTAATGCATCAGATGGCTGTTTGTTGCATCAGAGGGTTGTCTGTTGCATGAGAAGGATGTTTAATGCATGAGATGGCTGTTTTTATTTCTTTCTTTCCCGATGATATCAGCCATTTCATTAACATAGGGAGTGCGGTCAATAAAAAAACTGGGTAACTATGAATGTGCTCTGTAAGAGACTAGTGAACTAAATATCTAGTTAAAGAAAGACTGGGGAACTATGAATGTGCTCTGTAAGAGACTAGTGAACTAAATATCTAGTTAAAGAAAGACTGAGGAACTATGAATGTGCTCTGTAAGAGACTAGTGAACTAAATATCTAGTTAAAGAAAGACTGAGGAACTATGAATGTGCTCTGTAAGAGATTAGTGAACTAAATATCTAGTTAAAGAAAGACTGAGGAACTATGAATGTGCTCTGTAAGAGACAAGTGAACTAAATATCTATTTAAAGAAAGACTGAGGAACTATGAATGTGCTCGCTGAGAGATATTAGGGAACTAGGTATGTAGTCAGTGAGAGACTGGGAGATTGCGAGGGGTGGTCTTTAAGAAATAAGGAATTTACTGATGTTGTCGATGAACGGGGAACTGCGGATATGGTGTGTGGGAGATTGTAGAACCGGGTATGCGGTCTATGAGAGAAGGGTATGAAAAGACGTCGTCTATTATAAATTAGTGAACCATAGATGTGGTTCGCCTATTTGTTCTATCTACAGTAGAATGGTGGGGTTTGCCAATGTGTTCTATGCACAGTAGAAAAGTAGGGTTTGCATACTTTTTTTTAAATCACCAGTAGAGAGGTAGAATTTCTCAATTTGTTTTATTCACAGCGGAATTGTAGGGTTTGCCAACTTCTCCGCCCGGCACTCAGACACGCAGGGCGCCATGAAGATCGTGGAGTTACTCAACACCGTGTACATCCGGTTTGACGAGATGTTGGATCCCAGCAAGAATCCCAACATCTTTAAGGTAGGTCAGTGGCTTTAACTGAACTGAGGAAAATACGCTGGCGTAGGATAGGACACACAGTGAAAAAACATGAGAGCACTAAAACTAAAAGGGCTTTAAACTAGAACCTAAAAGGGTATATCAATAAAGGTAGACCAAAACACACGTAAAAGGTAACTTGAGAGTGAAGTTAAAAAAAAAAAAAAAAAAAAAAAAAAAAACAAAAAAAAAAAAAAAAAAAAAAACGGGCTGAACTGCATACGCTAGGAAAGATTATAACAATTTGGCGTGGGTTGGTTGAGAGCCTATGCTCCACTGGGTAATAAAGGGCGGAAAAAGAAGAAGCAGAACAAGAACCCAGCACCTGGCGCTAAAGCACCAGCACAACGACCGATACATGGCAAGCCAAGCACCAGTACAAAAAGAGCAAAGCCCACAGAGACAGGAGGAAAAGAAAACCAAACCCAGAAGGACATGAAATACCACACCGGCCAAAGAACGCAGAGAACAAAGCAAAGAACCACTCTTCAATATAACGGGCCGTCAGGCAATTGAACGGAAAGTTTACCAAGAAATCAGCAAGAATAAGAAGTCGTTTTAACTGACTTTCTAAATTGAGCTGTTCAATAGGTATATCTGGACAGTCTGTCTAAACAGACAACAAATCTAGCTGGACAATTAGTCTGACCAAACAATGTAGTCTGTCTGGGAAGTTAAAACATTTTGACCAAACACTGTTTTTGAACAGTCAGTCTGGTTATATCATCACATGAGTCTAACTGTCATTCTAACTTCTAAATCATTCTGTTATACAATATGAAGAGACTGAAAATCGGAATGGACAGCCTATACGGAAACCTACTAAGCTTATAGTACAACTACTCCCTGTGTGGGTTGAAGGGACCCGTTTTATCCTTCCCGCTCTGCCCGCACCAAAAAGCCTCACTGTAGCCCAGCAATCTTGCATTGAGAGGCCTCTAATTAGCTGTCTGCTTAAGTTTGATTGTTGTTTGTTTTTAGCCGAAAGGCTCAAGATATCACAACCTAACTGCAAACCACAACATGCCAACAGTCTTTTAAATTTTGTACGGCAAACTCAAAAGAAGAAGAAGAAGAAGAAGAAGAAGAAGAAGAAGAAGAAGAAGAAGAAGAAGAAGAAGCAGCAGCAGCAGCAGCAGCAGCAGCAGCAGCAGCAGCAGCAGCAGCAGCAGAAGAAGAAGAAGAAGAAGAAGAAGAAGAAGAAGAAGAAGAAGAAGAAGAAGAAGAAGAAGAAGAAGAAGAAGAAGAAGAAGAAGAAGAAGAAGAAGAAGAAGAAGAAGAAGAAAGAAAAGAAGAAAAAGGAGGAGGAGGAGCAAAAGAAAGAAAGAAAGACAAAAAGAAAGAAAGAAAAATAAAAGACAAAGAAGAAGTATAATTGACTGGTTCATATTAACTGCCAGCGCTTGACAGGTGGACAACCCAGCTGGACAGTTCTAACTGACTAGCTCACTCACAGTCTAACTAGACGTTCCGTCACAATGGACAGTCTATGGGACAGTCCGTCTGGAAAATATAACTACACAAGTACTTAATCCTGATACCTATTTGTGTTTAAACCCCAACCAGATTTACATAATATGCGCGCCAGATGCTATCGATCTTGGATAAAACCACAGATAAAATACTTTGTACTTGTTAAATAACATACTACCAAGCAACTGCCATGTACACGGAAAGTAAATGAACCATCACAGTCTTAAATCCCACGGTTGATGCGCTAAGCACATGTTTGATGTTGGGCTTCTCACTTTCCACAGACCTGCCAAAGTGGCGATGTTTTGGACAAAACGATTGATCTGCTGATTGTTCAATTGATTGATTCTGTTTACAGGACATCTTCAGCGCACACTAAAAACTTATCCGTTACGCAATCAAGCGCACACTACAAACTTATCCGTTACGCAATCAAGCGACGCTAGAAACTTATCCGTTACGCAATCAAGCGACGCTAGAAACTTATCCGTTACGCAATCAAGCGACGCTAGAAACTTATCCGTTACGCAATCAAGCGCACGCTAGAAACCGATATACTTATTTGTTACGCAATAAGTCTATCATATTTTTTTTTAACATTCTAGAAAGCAGACACTCGATGCATGCAAATGGTATTCCTCTTTCAATTTCCAGTACGTTCATACAATATACACACACGCTAAAAGTTTTACTCCTGGGTAACGCTTGGAGAATGGATGATGGTAGACTACCGAAGTATATCCTCTATGCCAGCAGTGGCTTTCAACCTTCATAGTGCCGCGAGCTTTGCTACAGTTCCCTGATGTTGTGGCGACCCCCAAACAATTATTTTCCTTTATAACTTCAATGAATATGTGTTCTCCGTTGGTCTTTGGCGACCCATGTAAAAGGGTCGTTCGACCCAAAAAAAGGGTCGTAACCGGCAGGTTGAGAACCACTGCTCTGTGATGAATCACATATCGGTAGAAGATTTCCAGGACGGTTTTTTAATGATATAAAGATGTGTGCAAGCGGGACATGAATGATACAGATATTAAGGTAGATTCCTGGGAACAAAGTGCTGTGCCCTATCTGAGGCTAGCGCCATATATCCAATGGTCCAATGGCATGGAAAGGTCCGTTTCCTTTCTGTTTACATTTTCGTCAACAGTCAGTAAAAAGAACCTTGTCCACGCCCTCAGGCGTATTGGGCATATAGGGCTAGACCTGTATGTTTTAGAACAACCGGCACTTGGTGGATGTTGTGGTCAACATCATGCCGGCCACCTTTACTTCCATGACTCTACCTGGTACCTATTTACCACTGGGTCAACTTGGGAGCAAAGGTCATTTTAGTAGAAACTCAGCTCCGTCAAGACCTGAACCCGCGACCTTCCAATCCGCAGGCGAGCTTCTAGCCACTACACCACGGCCCCCGCCAACAATGGCCAATAAAGATAATTTTGTTTAGGTTCGTCTAGCGGTCATGTGTCTCAAGTGCAGTTGTTTCCCTAGCGAGGCGCACACTGCCTTCGGAGGTGACAGTTTCGATTTCCGGCACAGTAAATAAAGCTTTCGATTTTTATGTTGTCTAGTGTGTCCTCTATCTTTCTCCTTCTTTCTATAAGTGCCCACCAATACATTGTCTGTTTGCGAATTATAGATGCATACAGGGAGCGTGTCTATAACACATGCTCAGTATTCTTTTGTGTCTGTTCACACGAGAACAATTCCGAATCCACGATCTTGAATTTCTTATAAACAGTTCCTGCTGACGCGAGGACCCCGCTTTAGTGTTGGTGTTTTTACCTGCTGTACATTTAACTGTCACTGACCATCGTCCATGGCAGGTGGAGACAGTTGGTGACAAGTACATGGCGGTCAGTGGACTTCCAGAACCTTGCGATGACCACGCCAAGTCTATTGCCAAACTGGCCTTATATCTCATGGACATTTCTCGGGAACTAAAGGATCCCAATGGGGAACAAATCATGGTCAGTGTTTCTTGCTGTTGTTTTTAGCGTAGCTGCTGTTTTTGTTGTTTTACTTGCTGTTCTTGCTAGTGAATACCAAAACGTATGAAGCACATGAAAAATATAAATCTTTCATAATATGAACATCAAGGATAACTGGCTCATAAACAGCATCCTGACCCGAAATCTGGGGAATTTTGGCCACGTTAAATGTCATGATCTACGGCGGTGATGTAAAACGAATTAGAACAGACCTTCGCGAAGGTGGATACAAGACTGAAGATGCACTCGCTATGTTTGTTTGTTTTAGTATCTAGAAGCCATGAGTTGTTAACCCTTAGACTCGGTATTATGGGTATCGCAACCTTTCGGCCTTGATTCGATTGTAAATACCGTTAATGTGGGAGAAAATGTGGCTTTCCTGCCTACCCCCGGGAGTGAACCCGGACCACAAGGAGTTCGTCACCCGGTCTCCGCGCAATCCGGTTTAGCCAACTACGCTAGAGAGCCGGGCGTGCATTCGCTATGAAAGTTCATAGTGCTGGACAGTTCGCTAGACAAAGAGAGACTTGAAGAAGAAAAAGAAGAAGAAGAAGAAGAAGAAGAAGAAGAAGAAGAAGAAGAAGAAGAAGAAGAAGAAGAAGAAGAAGAAGAAGAAGAAGAAGAAGAAGAAGAAGAAGAAGAAGAAAAAGAAGAACAAGAAGAACAAGAAGAAGAAGAAAAAGATGAAGAAGAAGAAGAAACAGAAGAAGAAGAAAAAAGAAGAAAAAAAAAAAGAAGAAGAAGAGGAAAGAAGACCAGAGAAGCTGACAATGAAACTATACCTGGTAATATTATCCCTGTAGTTAAAAGGTCGTCATGGTTTGTATTTCCATTAAATTGGTTGTTAATGATGATCTATTGGTGGTCGTGGTCTGTCTGTTTTGAAAGATCGCATCATGAATTTCAGATCACTATCGGGATACATTCTGGGGAAGTGGTCACAGGAGTTATCGGGAAGAAGATGCCCCGGTATTGTCTGTTTGGGAACACCGTGAATTTGACCAGCAGGACGGAGACAACAGGGGAGAAAGGGAGAATTAACGTCTCCGAATATGCGTATAGGTGAGTTCTCCCCGCAAGTGCAATCTCCTTTTTCTTCGACGTTAACATAAGTACTGGATACTGGGGAGACTGACTTCCCCATAATGTTGTTTAACAGTGTGGGGCTGGGAAAGAGGGGTGGGGAGGGGGGGGGGGAACTCATGCTACTCAAAGGAACATAATTTGTGTAATCATTTTGACTTTCAAAATCTGTGTAATTTACGCAATGAAATTGTTCCAATTTAAAAAAAAAAATTCACCCCTTCAAATGACAGTCCTTTTGCTTGTGGGTCCTGGATAATTATTTAGACCTGTGGGCGTATGGTCTTACCTTCAACTAATGAAAACGCGCTATCAAATAGATATGGGTTGTAACTTTCGTCGTTCCCCTTTACGGCGTTTTTTGTTATTTTGAAGCCCCACCCTGCCTGTTGCCGGGCCGCAATATAGCCTCACGGTTGAACGCGGTTTCCATGACCTCTTCACGGGTGATCCTCATCCGCATAGTGGCAGTATGTGTCACTAGGTGTTTATCGCTTGTGTGATTTTCTGGTGGGGTAAACATTACTTACTTAATTAAATATGCCTATTTTTAAAACGGTATATTATTACTTACCGTTAACTACATTATATACATAATGTGGTTAATGGTAAGTAACAATAAACTGTTTTAAATATAATGAAATATATATTTATCGCACTTCAACACGGTGTATATCCCTTGAGGCCTCCCCTTTTGAAAACGTAGAAGGGAAATATTGCGTGGATGGGTGCGATGTTTATTGTCTGAACTTTATTTCTATCTATTGAGTGTGTTGAGAAAACTGTCTGTAACCGACAAATTATGTTTTCAGATTTCTACAAGACTCAGTCAACAGTGATAAGAGTTTCCAGTTGACTTACCGAGGTGAGGTCACTATGAAAGGCAAGGCTACGCCCATGAAGTGTTACTTTCTGACGCGGAAGACTATAACACCCGAAAGAAAGAAGTCCCGGACCTGTGATGTGTAAAGAAACAGCCAAAGGTGTTGGCGTAAACAAGAACATTAATTCTATTATAGATACCAGATCAAGCCCTTCTAACACATCTCAGAAAGTGTGTACTCAACAGGAGCCCGAGACCTGAGCCCTTCAAGTTCAATTCTAGGGAGGACCTAACTTAACATTTGTCAATGGACTAAGGGTCCCTCTTCTCCCAGCCATGTATAGAATTCTTTAAAGTATTTCTTTGTACATGCCATATTATACATCTATTTAAAATGTATTTATTTAACTTTATTTATAAATGTTTTGCAATTAAGCACAGAATAATTATGATAATAATAATATACCTTTTACGCACTTAAACCAGGCTTAGGCACCTTTATAGCCCGAAGAAATTTCAAACATTTATAAGGGGGACTTTCTCCCTGCCCCTTTCCGAGCCCCACTTTCTCCCAAATGTTTTCTTGACATCAGCGCCCCTGGCAGTCAACACCTCTATTTTATTTCACCTTTCTGTATTTTTATGTTTGATTAATTTTGGGTTTAGTTTTTAATTGTAAGTTATTGATCATTTTTGTGTGTGCTAGAAAAGCCCGAGGGTATCTGTGTGTCCTCAGTCGGCTGTACATCCTAATTTCTATTTTCTTTTTCTAAAGTTTTCATTTGCAAACTTTGATGTTGAAATTTTTTTTTATTTAAAAAAAAAAAAACTTTCTGGTTAATGTTTTTTATTATAAAAATTTGTTAATATTCCGTTAGAAAACTATTTTGTTAAGTTTTCATTAGAAATCTACCCTGTTGAGTTTTTATTACAAACTTTCTTGTTAATTTTTTTTTTCAGTAAAACTTTTTTGTTAAGCTCAGGATGATGATCTTTGCGTTGTTAAGGTGGAGCTCAAATGGTGTGTGCAACTAGACGCTCCGCAGGCGCCAGGTCTAATTTTCTTTCAACAGTAAACTTGGCTCCCAGGTTAATCCAGCTAAGAATAAGTACTAGGTAAAGTCCTAGGAAGTAAAGGCGGCTGGTGTGACGTTTGGGACTTCAGCGCTCAAGAAGTCTAGCATCATATCGCGGATGAATATTCTCTTTAATTTGATTCAATTATCTTTATTTGATGTTTCTCTTTTTAAAACTATACTGGAGGGAAAGGTCGAAGGTAAGAAAGCAAGAGGTAGACAATAAAACAATTAGGAAGACGACATCAAAAGATGGACAAACAGTGGTCTTGGAGACTACACAAATACAAGTGGCAGAGCGTGTTGGAGATCTATTTGAGCCAATCTTGATTGCGGAGACGGCACTTGATTGATTTGATGTTTCTATTTTGATAGTTTTGTGCCACGGAGCAGTCATTTCGTTCTAGAAAGTAATGGCTAAACTCGGTGTGAAACAGGAGAATTTTATGTATGATTGTTTGAACCTTTATTGTTGTCTATTAAATCATTTTTAAAAAGTAAAACATTGTGTTGACAAAATTGTATCATTTACATCAGTGATTCCCAAACTGTGCGCCACGGCGCCCCGGGGAGCCGCGACCTCTTCACAGAGACGCTGCGAAATATTGTAAAAGCTTCATAATTAATTTAACCAAGACATAAATAGTCATACTTTTACCTAGGTTAGGGCGCCGTGGAAAAATGTTAACTGAAAAAAGGCGCCGCTACCAAGACAAGTTTTGGAAACACTGATTTACATTATAACAGAGGAGTGGCTGGCCGAACGTTTGGGGACATTTCTCTAATGTCTTTATCCCTCTTGAACCTATTAATCTTTATCATATTCCTCAGATGTGAGTTTTTGAAAGCATTTAACTTTCGTCCTATCTCTTTAGTGGTACTCAAACTTTCACTGCCAGATGTTAAAGTAAAAAAAAAAAAAAAACATTAGAAATGAAAATACACAACCTGGTTCCATATTTTGTTCAAATTATTAAAAGTTGCTGATCGCTTGCCAGTGTGCGTCGCATTTTATTTCTTTATATTTCCTTGACTATCAAAATTACTGCCCAAATAAGTGAATTGATCTGTTGCTTTAATTACTTTTGTCTCAAGTCTTACATTTTGCGTGATCTGTTATTGGTATCTTCAATATATTTATCTTTCCATAACTTTTTCCGTAAAAGTACCGTTGATATCCCCAGACCCCGCCCGTATACACACTAGCTCACTTATGATTGGTAGTTCACGAGCCCGTGAACTTCGAACAAGGTTACGGGGGGTGTTCCGCAATGCCATTGATATCAGGTGTTGTATATTTCAACACGCCACCGCTTTTAACACTTTAAAAACATGGAGAAACTGGCTCTAACACAACCTCCATAGAGAGTGCTGCAACCTATGTCACAGGCCTTCTCTTTTTCTGAATAAAAACGTAAATGCAAGACATCACAGAAACAAAACAACAGAGCGGTACAAACCCGTAACCTTTAGGAAAGTCGACCAGCCCAACCAACTGGTAAATGAAAAGTGACCTACCCTATTTGGAGAGACTAACGTGATCCTTACCACTTTTTTTAGGTAGCCCAACCCTTGATGCTACATGTGCTAAATCCTCCGTTTTTCTCGGTATGTCATTGTTATTGTTTTTTACTTAACAGACTAATGTTATCAACAAAATAAAGATCCCCAACTGTGTGTTCTCCCTCAGCCAGTCCTGGTGTTTCCTAAACATTTTAACGTCGTCTTAATTAATGGATGGAATTTGTGAGGCTAGTTTCTAAGTAGTACATACCAATATTTGCAACCAATATTTGCAGCAGATGTCTCTGAAACACCCGATGCTAAAAAGCAGAACAGGAATACAGAACAAGCAGAAGAAGAAGAAAAAAAGGAGAAGAAGAAGAAGAAGAAAAAGAAGAAGAAGAAGAAAAAGAAGAAGAAGAAGAAGAAAAAGAAGAAGAAGAAGTAAAAGATCGAAAGAAAAAAATTAACGAAAGAAAGAAAGAAAGAAAGAAAGAAAGAAAGAAAGAAAGAAAGAAAGAAAGAAAGAAAGAAAAAAGGAAAGAAAGAAGAAGAAGAATCAGTAGAAAAAGGTAACATTATGATGATATAAAAAGGGTAATTTTGTGTTAAAATGCTAAAGAAAGACTCCAAGAACACCATGGACAAAAAAGAAAGCAAAGAATGATATCCTTACATCAAGGAAGAGTTGCTAGTAAACAGAATCTTGTCTCGGAAACTGAAATATTAGGCCATATCAAGCGCCACCGCGGAAATGAAAACAAAACAAAAAGTAATAAAAGAATGAATGGTAAAGAAGGACAGAGGCCGACCAGCATAAATATGGACACATGATATCAGTGACACGTTGGGTAGGGAAGTGCACGAGGGGGAAGATCTGACAAGAGACCGATTTTCTTTCAAGCAGACTGTGATGGGAGCAACGTTTTGCATATGAACAGCTGCATGATGATAATGATCTCTATAAGTCAGCGTCTGCGGATAAAGGTTTGCGATCTGTTGATTTGAACAATGACATCGAGCGCTGACTGTTGAGCAGCAATGACAAACTACTGAATTCAAAATTATCTTGTAAACCGCCACAGCCAAAAATTATTAGGCTTGGTTTTTTTAAAGTCACGAAAAAGGTTTGCAACCAACTGTATCTCTACAAATGAATTTATATCCGTGCCTTGCACATGTCTTCGGTATTTCCGGTCTATTCTAACATCTTTTCTAAAAATAATATTTCGGCATCCGGAAAAGTTAAATGAGATTAAACAATTCTTCAACCTGCCAGAAGTGTGGCAGTTGGAAGGAGCGAAGGATTACTTCACTGATCCCCGCCATGACAGACGAACTCCACTTTGTTGCGGAAAATGACGAATTTGAAGCGGTCTTTTAACCCCCCCCCCCCCACCCCTTTCCCCAGGGGTAGCGTGTGCGGTTCATATTTCTGATTGTTTCTTTAACTGTGTGACGTCTGCATGTTCTCCCAGTCGATTGCCTGAGTGTTTGAAAAGCCTGATTGACTCGGATTGAAGTTCCAACAAAGCCGCATCTGAAAACACCGCGTCAATCCAAGTAAACAGAAAGAGGATCGGGTGAACTGGTCAGTTTTACAAGAACATATTCGACAGAATGGATGTTCCAGCTGAAAAGCCTTCCCCATCACAGAAAAACAGATAGATCTTTCAATTAGGTTGTTTCCCCCATCCCATCTCGGCTAATCCGAGAGTTCTCGGTAAAGTTCCACAGTGTAGGTATGTTATGGTGTGAAGTGAAAGGCGACTAACTCAAACCCATTCCCTAACCACCATCACCCCCTCCCCTTTCCCCCATATAATATTGAAATATCTATGAAACTCTTGGAATCCCCAAGATGGGGTAAATAAAAGAAAAGTACCAAACAGACTGTGTTTATATAACCCCATTATACTGAGTTGTGAGGCTACAAACGTCGAAATCATCGTTAAAAAAAAAAAAAAACGCCGAATAACAAAACTGTGTATTATGACCTCTATAGGTCAGCTGACAGGAAGTGACATACTAGGTAGGTGAAGGTGAAAGGTCAGTCCAAATAGGAAAGGCACGACTGGTGATGCATAAAAGGAGAAATGGAAATACAAAGTTTAGTACACATCGGCGACCAGGTCGCCCATTGATTCGCCGGTAGACGACTTCGTCGTCGGTCGGGACAATATTTGGGTATGTCTTCTTTGACAGGATTTTTACTGCAGGAGCCTTTTTCATGGCTCTTGGTGGCTCCAGCTTCGTGGATGCTGATTGGATGTGAAAACTACTTACATGTACAATGTTTGATGATACTTGAGATTGCCTTGAAAATATATTTTTTTCTAGTTTGGAAATGTTTTTTTTTCCTAGGATTATCATCATTATCATGTGCCCTGCCAACTGGCAAAGGCGCTCACGCATTACAATCTATAGTTGCCTGAAACAGCTCTCTTGATGATATCCCTTCATGCCATCGTTTCAGCCCATCCAGAATCATCTCTTTTGGTCTTCCTCGACCCCTCTTTCCATTGATCTTTCCAGTTGTCATGATGTTTTCCAATGCCTCTATTTTCATTACGTGGCCAAAGAACAGTGTTTGTCTCTTTCTTATAGTTATATATACAGATTAACTTTCCTTAGCGTCTAGCTAAAACAATCGTTGTTGGTTACTCTGGCCGTCCAAGGTATCGGTAGCAGAATAATATGACATTAATTAAGAACAACAACAAAAGTTGAAATAAATGTCTTGCTAGTGTTTATTTCTCACGTATCAAAGTGTTGAAGTTGTAAGTAAACAAGCAACAGTGCATAACAACAGTGCGTAATATGTACATATAGTCTGAACAATAAACGATATCAATCACCTATACACAAAACACAATTCTACAATATTAATTTTTTAAAATGTTATTTATTACATGGACTATCTTTAAACACCACATATTTATATAGCATTATTTGATATATTTAAATCGTTGAGTGGTTAAGAGGTGCAACTTTTCTGTCAACATTTCAAAATAAGAACCCTTATAAATAAAGATTTACAACATCAGCGATTCTTGCCTACACAGACACGGATCCTCGCTACTACAGATTGTGTGCGATGTGCCGAGTTCTCTGTGTAACGTGTGCAAGGAGATGGGGCATCTTACGGAGATATTCGTGTGCAAAAAAGTGATTTAAAAATATATTTTTTTTAAAGGATAGACGAAGAATACTAGGTAGAGAGTTCTATACATTTTCTGGCAAATCTGTTAGCCCAACAAAAGAAAAACCTTCTTCTTCTTTTTTGTCTTCTTCTTCTTCTTCTTCTTCTTCTTCTTCTTCTTCTTCTTCTTCTTCTTCTTCTTCTTCTTCTTCTTCTTCTTCTTCTTCTTCTTCTTCTTCTTCTTCTTCTTTGTCTTCTTCTTGTTTTTTCTTCTTCTTCTTCTTCTTCTTCTTCTTCTTCTTCTTCTTCTTCTTCTTCTTCTTCTTCTTCTTCTTCTTCTTCTTCTTCTTCTTCTTCTTCTTCTTCTTCTTCTTTGTCTTCTTCTTGTTTTTTCTTCTTCTTCTTCTTCTTCTTCTTCTTCTTCTTCTTCTTCTTCTTCTTCTTCTTCTTCTTCTTCTTCTTCTTCTTCTTTTTTTTTCTTCTTCTTCTTCTTCTTCTTCTTCTTCTTCTTCTTCTTCTTCTTCTTCTTTTTCTTCTTCTTCTTCTTCTTCTTCTTCTTTGTCTTCTTCTTGTTTTTTTTTCTTCTTCCTCTTCTTCTTCTTCTTCTTCTTCTTCTTCTTTTTCTTCTTCTTCTTCTTCTTCTTCTTCTTCTTCTTCTTCTTCTTCTTCTTCTTCTTCTTCTTCTTCTTCTTCTTCTTCTTCTTCTTCTTCTTCTTCTTCTTCTTTTTCTGGGCCCTTGTCAGGACGACCGGCACACCCCCCCCTCTCCCAACTCTAATAGCTAGGTTGTGATTTTTGCGAGTTCAACACATCCGATTTCAGCAAAATCCTTATTAGTCGCCTTTTGCGAGATGCCTCTTAAGAGACATTATGTATAATAAACATACACTGTATTGATCGACACTGATAGAAAGAAGAAGAAGGATAGCAGGACATACTAGACAATATAAAAATCGAAAGCTATAGTTACTGTGCCGGTAATCGAACTTGTCACGTCCAAATGGCGTGTGCAATTCGCTATGAAAAAAAGTCTGCTAAACTGTATGACTAACTAGGCACCCCAGTAAAGATGTCTTATGAGATAATGTCTCCCCTCCCCCCACCCCCACTCTCCCAACTCTAATGCGGGCCAGAAACCCACAGGTAGGAAAGTGATCATTTATTAGTTCACTTGGTTATGCTAGGGGAGGGATGGGGTGGGGGGGGGGGGGGGGCGAGGCAGTGGGAGGGGGGGGGGGGGGGGGGGGGGGGGGTGCAGATTCATTCGAATTCACATATTCTTAGTTTCCGGCTGACACTGGAACCGAAAAACTGAAGCTAAGAATAGCATGTGGTTGAACACAGTGCCGTAAGAGACTTCTAAGGGAGATTAGTATCGAGATGTATATGACACATTGAAGAAGAGATGTATTCGTGTAGTTTCGGGGTCCTATTTTGTGTTGGAGAGGAAGGGGGGGGGGAGAGGGCATACCCACTGCGCCCCACCCCTTTCTTCTAACAGGTCGTAGACAGCAACTAATTATGGAGTTGTTGCAATCGAGTGCCTGGGGCTTAAAGGTACAGATATCGCAGCCTAGCTATTAATCACAAGATAAAATCAACGCCAGCCGCCTTTATAAGGATGGACAAGAAGAAAACGAAGAAGTCGATTTTTTGCTACGTTAAACTAGCCATTAACAGGTTGAAGAAGAACTGGCAGGCCTAAGGTGTGCAAATATGTTTGCATTGTGCGCAATTTTTTCAACATTGTCAGAAATCTTCACAAAGTAGGTACCCCAAAACAGGTATCTATCCGGGGCGATGAAGAATCGGCAAAAGCAGACTTTTGGCCAGTGTCCTGAAATTAGCCCCGTCCTTGATCGATCTGAACAGTCATTAAAATGTGATTAAAAATATCACGGGGGTCAATCGGTCACGCCATCTTTCACGTTGTAATATTCCACTGCCAAGGTCACGTGATCTATTTCCGGTTTATCACTTTTCACATACGGAAATTCGTAGCCTTCCAGGAAAAAGGGGATACCCTCAATAGTTTCGGGGAATCCCGGTGGCAGATTGGCTTTAGTTCTCGGGGTGAAGGTGAATCCAGGGGTCAGTTTGAGCAGCCTGCGAGGACAGAAATAACCAGGTATTGTTACGGTCTTCATATAGTAATATCATAGATGTAAGATTCTTTCTTTGTTTCTTTCCTTCTTTCTTTGTTTCTTTGTTTCTTTCTTTGTTTCTTTGTTTCTTTCTTTGTTTGTTTGTTTGTTTCTTTCTTTCTTTCTTTCTTTCTTTCTTTCTTTCTTTCTTTCTTTCTTTCTTTCTTTCTTTCTTTCTTTCTTTCTTTCTTTCTTTCTTTCTTTCTTTCTTTCTTTCTTTCTTTCTTTCTTTCTTTCTTTCTTTCTTTCTTTCTTTCTTTCTTTCTTTCTTTCTTTCTTTCTTTCTTTCTTTCTTTCTTTCTTTCTTTCTTTCTTTCTGTCTTTCTTTCTTTTTCTGTCTGTCTGTCTGTCTGTCTGTCTGTCTGTCTGTCTGTCTGTCTGTCTGTCTGTCTGTCTGTCTGTCTGTCTGTCTGTCTGTCTGTCTGTCTGTCTGTCTGTCTTTCATTCTTTCTTTCTTTTTTTTTTTTTTTTTTCTTTTTTTTTTTTCTTTCTTTCTTTTCTTTTCTTTCTTTCTTTCTTTCTTTCTTTCTTTCTTTCTTTCTTTCTTTCTTTCTTTCTTTCTTTCTTTCTTTCTTTCTTTCTTTCTTTCTTTCTTTCTTTCTCTGTTTCGGTAATTTTCCATGTCTTTCTGTCTTTTTTTCCTTGTTTCTTTCTATCTTTTTTTTTCTTCTTCTTCTTTCTCTTCTTCTTCTTCTTCTTCTTCTTCTTCTTCTTCTTCTTCTTCTTCTTCTTCTTCTTCTTCTTCTTCTTCTTCTTCTTCTTCTTCTTCTTCTTCTTCTTCTTCTTCGGCCTCGTCGTCCTCCTCATTCTTACACCTGTCTTCTTTTTCTGCTTCCTTTTGATTATCACTTGGCTTGACATGAGAACCACCAAGGCAAAACAAATTTTGTCATATCACACACATACACACACACACACACCCACACCCACACACATACACACACACATACACCCACACACACATATATACACACACATACACACACACATACACCCACACACACATACACACACATATACACACACATACACCCACACACACACACATAAATACAAATACACACAAACACACACAAACACATACAGAGAAGATCTTGGGTTTGAATCCGCATTCGGGCGAACTTGTACACCTGAACTCGGACGCCATTGTAATCCAGCCCAAAAGAGGGGCCAGGAAGAGTGCTTGGTAGTCAAGGCGGTCGATGTGATGTTGACCACATCATACACAGAGTGCCTTTAGGGACAACTTTGGCTCTACCACTAGACATCTGGGGAGCGGCCGTGGTGAAGAGACTAGACGCTCGCCTGTGGATCGGAAGGTCGTGGGTTCAGATCCTAACTTTTGCTTCCAGGTTGACCCTGGCTCAAATGGGTACCAGGTTAATTCCTTGGAAGTAAAGGCAGCCGGCGTGATGCTGACCACGTCATCCACCAAGTGTGGATTGGTCTGTCTTTAAAATATAGGCTTAGCCCTATACGCCTAGTACGGCTGAAGGTTGGGTAAAGGATCACTTTACTATAAATCTGATGCACTAGAGGTTTGACAAATGTAATTAACCCTTTGCTTTCGTTACTGCCCCACTTAACATATACAGTGATGAAATGCGATAAACACAGACTTTCACAATACTAGAAAAATTCACAGACAAGTGGGAAATTATACTTTGACAATACTTGAAATATTACTAGATACCTGTGACAAAGACAAACTTTGACCATGCTTGAAAAATTCACAGACACCCGTGAAATTACAGACTTTGACAACACTTGAAAAGTTACTAGACACATGTGACAAACATAGACTTTGACAAAACTTGCACAGTTTCTGTGGTATGTGTGATAAACATAGACTTTGACAATATTTGGATACCTGTGCCTCAGGCGTTTATTTGTACATTTTCCTGTATTGTCACACTCAACAGGCGATGTAGAGAAGAGAATCCTGTTGCTGTTAATGCAGAGGTCAACGCTCTCATCGGTGAAAATTCAGATGAAGCAGATGCAATAATCTATACAGACGGATCCGTTATACGCCAAAGAAGAAGCGCATGGGCATTTACAGCACGCTCAGCGGGCAGAACAGTCAAAGAAGCCAACGGCGCCTTCTCCATGACAACCAGCAGCATGACGATGGAGGTGATGGCAGTGACACAAGCGCTTGCCTGGCTTGAAACACAAAAATACACCCGCGTGTGTATACTCAGTGATTCAATGAGTATGATCCGGAGGGTTCAGGCAGGTTCAGTGCGAAGACAATGGCTTGAATCATTACAGAAGTCCACTGTTCGTGGAATCACCTTTATTTTTGTTCCGGGACACGCAGGCGTCGATGGGAAATGAAAGAGCTGACAGGTTTGGCTGGATCCGCTATCACTACCGACGGTCAGCCTATGGATCATGCTGATATTATCAATGCCCTCAGAGAAATGGGAAGAATAGAGGACTTTGGTGGCAGTGAATCCACATCACTCGCCAGAATGGCAGACTTGGGAATTAAGATCGGCACAGCAAAAAACGAGACGCACACCAGCTACGCCAGAAGACTTGTTAATCAACATAGAACTGGTACTATTAGCCATCGGACGTTGGGGTTCATACTGAGGGGAGGATCTGAGCACCTATGGACATGTCCGGAGTGGAATGAGGATAACCCAACTAACTAACTAACTAACTAACTAACTTTGACAATATTTGTAACGCTCAGAGATATATTTGGTAAATGTAGACTTTGATAATACTTTCAAAGTTCATAGATAGCATTGGAATGTAACCAGTGACAATCGATGAAAAAGTTCATAGATACATAAGAGCATAGACATAGTGAAATATCACTCACTCGTAGGTGGTCGGACTGACGTGAATCTTCAACGGCTCGCTGCCAGACTCAAACTTGTTGGCGATGGTAACGTTGTTGCCAAACAGGCAATACCGCGGCATTTTTCTGCCCACAACGCCAGCCAGTACCCGGCCAGTGTGGATGCCAATGCGCATCTGAAACAGAAAGTGAGTTACAGGTTTACCATGTGGTGCACCCATGCAAGGTCATCAGAGGGCTAAGTCCTGATAATTGTTATCGCAACCAAATACTGCCTCCATTGATGAAACCAGGACACCACTCCAGTAATATTACGTAACACTCTTTAACACCCTCCGGACTGAATTGCCAACACAGCTTTATTTAAACTCCCAGGGGTTTGAACTGCCCTCACAGTTTTTTTTCTTAAAACCCCTAGTTATGGCTCCTGGTACTCTACAGGGGTATTTATTCCCCCAGCCGACACGTGTAGGCATTCTGCTGAGAAACTGCCGACCCAGCTGCTTCGAGATACCAGCTAAGTGATTTTGTGTATCTGTGTAGTATTGTTTGATTTGTATGTGCTGATGAAGGCTCCATAGCCGCAACGTTTACGTTTCGTTTGTATTTGTTATATTGTGAAGCTTGCTAATATACTTTTCGTTCGGTTTTATATCTTTTCTTGATATTATGTAATACGTGGGGTCTGTCTATGATTGGCTCATTGGCACCTTTCCGACTTTCTAAACGATAGCGTTATATTGCCCTATGAGGAGGCGTGGGACTCACAGCCCATGGCGATGGCGAGTGTGAATAGCAAGACCTGCCCGCGCCAAGAGAATCTTCCACAATGATAGCACGGGATTTCAGGACCGTTGTTGCCAATATTTGTATTTAAACTGTTTCTTCTCAGACGCTCAGCTCTCATCCTTTCTGCAATCATTTCTTCCTTCATTTTCGTTCCCTTTCATGATGTGCCCCCTCCACACAACACGGTAGATGGCATTTTGTTCCCACGAGTCCACCTCAATACCTGTGTCATTTATGTTGCCGTTTGCACACATCTTTATATCGTAGCCTGGACATCTTCTACCCTGTCATTTATATTGAAAGTAAATATTTAGTTTTTGATACACATAGTCAATATCCGAGATACACAACAAATCAAAATCATTTTAAAGAGCGCTGGTAGACGACGGGGTCCATTTATGCCATTTGATTTGGCCTCTCTAGGCAGAGGGTACTGCACAAAGCACGATACTCGAAGCTTCAAGGACGACCCTATAGATTTTCAAAGCAGCTGCACTGACGAACTAAAGGAGCTTGGAAATCCAACCCGTCATGTTTGGAGCACTAGGCAAAAGATTGGGCCACTGACATTATGACAGCAAAAGTCGCCATTTCCCAACCTATTTGTTTACCATAGCGTATCGTGTTCACTGCCCTTTTAAGGCAAAAAGAAGAAAGAGGAGGAGGAGGAGTAGAAGAAGAAGAAGATGACGACAACAATAAAGTTCAGACATCCAATATGTCACCTTGATGACGTTGCCGTCATGTGACTTCTCATTTTCAGCAGCCGACATCATCTTCAGCGCCATCCAGGCGATCTGCTGGGCGTGGTACTTGCTGGGCCGGTGCAGTCCCCCAGCCACACAGTAGGCGTCGCCTATAGTCTCAATCTGAATGCAAAAACAGAAAATACGTAGTAGCTTCCAGTTTATGAGTGTTCTCAACTCTTTAAATCAAGGTTTCGCAAACTTTTCTTAGTCACGGTGATTTTTTTCAACAAACATTTTTCTACGGTGCTCTAACTTTAAAAAAAGTATGACTTTTCGTATGTTAGAGATACAATAAAATAAAATAAAATTCGTGTATCTTCGAATATTTCGCGCCGCCCCTATAAAGAGGTTGTGGCTCACGAGGCGCCACGGCGCACAGTTTGGGAATCACTGCTTTAAATAACAGACAAAGTTTTCTGTGAGACTTGATATATTAAAGTCAACCTTAAGACACCTCATCAATGTTTCTTTTTCTTAAGTTTAGTCAGGGCAACACATTTGTCTCCTAAATGTTGCTGCATAATGAGTCCCTGAGTTATTAGTTGAATTACCTCCAAAACACTCCGGTCGCACCTAAAGGTGTTCAGATTCATCTGCATACATTCCTCATGGGCGTTAATAGTGCCGGTCCTATGCCGGTTAACAAGACTTCTTGTACATCAGGTGTGCCTCTCATGCTTGGCTCTGCCGATCTTTACTCCCAGTTCTTGCATTCTTAGAAGTAATGTGGACACAATGCTCCCGAAATATCTCTAAGGGCATTAGCACTGTCGACGCAATCCATAGGCCGGCCATTGAAAGTAATGCAAAACCTGCCAGTCCATCAGCTGTTTCATTGTCAACAACGCCAGCATCCGCTAGCACTGACTATGTACAGAACTTGCATCGACACGCCGTATTATGCTTGAAGAAGTACTCAGCACAAACTGGCGGAAATAGTCCTGAGATTCTTGCCATGCGTAAGCTTGTGTCACTACCATCACCACCATCACCTCCATCACCTCCATCACCTCCATCACCTCCATCACCTCCATCACCACCATCACCTCCATCACCTCCATCACCTCCATCACCTCCATCACCACCATCACCTCCATCACCACCATCACCTCCATCACCACCATCACCTCCATCACCTCCATCACCTCCATCACCACCATCACCTCCATCACCACCATCACCTCCATCACCTCCATCACCTCCATCACCACCATCACCTCCATCACCACCATCACTTCCATCACCTCCATCACCTCCATCACCTCCATCACCTCCATCACCTCCATCACCTCCATCACCTCCATCACCTCCATCACCTCCATCACCACCATCACCAGCATCGTCACGCTAGCTTGAAGTCATGGTGAAGGCACGGCTGGCTTCCTAGACTGTTCTGCTAGCAACACGAGCGGTAAATGCCTATGCACTCTTATGTTTCCGTATAATCAGTGACTGGGTCGTCCATTAGCTCGCGGGTAGACAACTTCCTCCTCGGTCAGGATGGTATTTATGTCTGTCCCCTGGACAGGGTTTCCAGGACCTCTCCACGGGTGATCCTCATCCACATAGTGGCACTTTGTGTCACCGGGTGCTTATCGCTTGTGTGATGTCCTGGCGGGGTACTACTTACCTACCTACCTATTGCATAAGCAAGAGTTATTTCAGATCTACTTTTTGGCGAGCAATGTTAAGTCAATTTATATGGCACACACAATCTAGTCACAATTATAACATAAAGCTCTCTCTCTCTCTCTTTTGGGATGCTGGTTAAATGTGACGATTTTGTTTTTTTGCAAAGCCACCACCATGTCTCCGTATAACGGACCCAGATGATGTTAGTCTCTGAGAATGTATGTATAACTACTAGTACAATTCTGTTCTGTTGTCATCACTGAGGTAACCGGGAATCGGCTATGACCTTCTGGGACTGAAAATGTTAAAAGGGTCGTTGTCGTCATCTGTGTAATTATCGTTATCATCACATCGTTTTCATCATCTTCATCACGATCATTAACATCCACGTCATCACTTTCAACATCAACATAATCATCCATCCATCTATCCATTTATGAAAAACAGAAGAAAAGTCGACCACGTTAAAGCTACTGCGAACAGTATAGGCTGTAGCTGTGGTCTGGCTTCTTTGTGCCAATTATGTTGGCTGAGAAGTGTTAATTTCACAAAAACTATTGGTATGGACCGGTACTCTTATACCTGGTGAGGGTTGTGGGGAAGGGGCTGGTATGAACTATACACATCCATTCACATATTTAGACATACGTGTACAATTACACGCACACACACACGGTCGCATATATATATATATATATATATATATATATATATATATATATATATATATATATATATATATATACTAGCTGTACCCGGCCATGCGTTGCTGTGGCATAGTTTGGCTAAATGGAAAAGAAAGAAAAAAGAAATCGCACGTGTCTAATATGGTTACTGTTACAGTACTAAATTAGATATATATATATAAAACACATACACGTCTGCACATCCACGTGGGAATGCATGTATACGTGTTCGCACACACACACACACACACACACACACACACACACATGTATAAACGCACATATACTCATAGGAGCCGCCGTGGTGTAGCGGCCACCCGCTCGCCTGTCGATTGAAAGTGTACTAGGTAAATTCCATGGAAGTTCAGGCAGCTTGCGTTATGTTGACACCTCATCCCTAGTGTACCGTGTCGTCTAGCTCTACATGCCCAATACACCTAGAGTACTGTGTCGTCTATCTCTACATGCCCAATACACCTAGGGTACTGTATCGTCTATCTCTACATGCCCAATACACCTAGGGTACTGTGTCGTCTAGCCCTACATGACCAATACGCTTGAAGGTGGCGAAAAGGCCCCTTACCAAAGAGGCAATACTAGGGTACTGACCTTGTAGACGTCTATGTCGACACAATAGAGGTCGAAGTAGGTGTAGAGGGAGTTGAGCATGTCCACCACCTGCATGGGCGTGGCCGTGCTACAGATGGCTGTGAACCCCACGATGTCGCTGAACAGCATCGTCACGTCATCCACCGTCATCGGCTCCACTGTCTCTCCTGCGTGGCCAAACATCATGTCACGTTACACGTACTCTTAAACATCATGTCACGTTAAACGTACACTTAAACATCATTTCCCGTTACACGTATACTTAAACATCATTTCAAGTTACTCGTACACTTAAGCATCATTTCAAGTTACTCGTACACTTAAACATCATGTCACGTTAAACGTACACTTAAACATCATTTCCCGTTACACGTACACTTAAACATCATTTCCCGTTACACGTACACTTAAACATCATTTCAAGTTACTCGTACACTTAAACATCATTTCAAGTTACTCGTACACTTAAACATCATTTCACGTTACTCGTACACTTAAACATCATTTCAAGTTGCTCGTACTCTTAAACATCATTTCAAGTTACTCGTACACTTAAACATCATTTCAAGTTACTCGTACACTTAAACATCATTTCAAGTTACTCGTACACTTAAACATCATTTCAAGTTACTCGTACACTTAAACATCATTTCTAGTTACTCGTACACTTAAACATCATTTCAAGTTACTCGTACAATTAAACATCATTTCAAGTTACTCGTACACTTAAACATTATCTCAAGTTACTCGTACACTTAAACATCATTTTAAGTTACTCGTACACTTAAACATCATTTCAAGTTACTCGTACACTTAAACATCATTTCAAGTTACTCGTACACTTAAACATCATTTCAAGTTACTCGTACACTTAAACATCACTTTAAGTTACTCGTACACTAAAACATTAAATTATCAGCTTCCTGTCCGGCTGGGTTTCAGGACTCCATTCGGGGGAGGGAGGTTGTGGGAAGGGGAGGGGGGAGAAAGGGGTTGATCAGTCATATCTGACCAAGTTTATTGACTGCTATTTTGCGGCTACTCAGATATACACGACCGTGATCGCACATATAGATACATACGCACACACACACACACACACACACACACATATATATATATATATATATATATATATATATATATATATATATATATATATATAAATTCATGAAAAAAACGCGTTAACGCATAGACATTCCCACACATCTTCACACATCTCCGCATACAAACAAATGCAAATCAAAAGTGTAGGGGTCATAGATATATAGATAGATAGATTAGATACATAGATTGATTAGACAGACAGACAGACAGACAGACAGACAGACAGACAGACAGACAGACAGACAGACAGACAGACAGACAGACAGACAGACAGACAGACAGACAGACAGACAGACAGACAGACAGACAGACAGACAGACAGACAGACAGACAGACAGAACGTACATGTAGTGTATCACTGGGAACACTTAGGGGTAACAAAGGACGGTAACACTGTACCCGAGTACGCATGCCGTAAGAGGACACTCAGAGAAGTCGACGTGTGACTGGCTATCCCATAAAATTTTCAGCTTTGGCTGCAAAATCCACTCAACCATTACCAAATTTAAAGGTGGTGTGGGGGAGGAAACACAATAATTGATCCAATCGTGATTACAAGGTATCGCTGCATACGTAGCTCAGCGGCCTTAACTATGGCAATTGTATTCAATGTGCTTGTGTGTTTCGTCACACGCAAAGTATATATATATATATATATATATATATATATATATATATATATATATATATATATATAATATATATATATATATATCAAAGTAAAGATTCCTTTTCACACATTTAGGCGCATCGGGCATACAGGAAGAGCTCCCATATTTATACAGACCAATTGGCACTAGCTAGGCAATCTGGTCGGCATTACGCCGGCCGTCTTTATTTCAACAGGACATACATCCTGGTACCCATTTTATGCTGGGTGGACCTGCAACGTCCCACACCATGATAAAAATCCATGAATTCAGCAGTGAGTTTTTGATCAGGGTATTTTAGAATTACGAGTTGAACTTAGAACCCCAAAGCCACGGACGCCGCATATAGGAGGAGTAGGATGAGTAGTAGTAATAGTATCTGGAGTAGCAGTAGTAAAAGCAGCTATAGCAGGAGTAGTAGTAGGAGGGAGCCTTAGCAGCAGTCTTTTAGTGCGCCGCTGAGCACTTACACAGCTGGACTAAAGAAAAGCACAAAATTGCAGACTGCAGCACTGCAGAGAGGAAAAGAGACTGAGACGATCAGGTACCAACCTCTCCAGAGTTTCTGTGCAATTTTGGGAGGGAATATTTCCAGTAGAAGATCTACATTCTTCTGTTTCTCCGCGTCTACAGCTTTGCTGGCCGTCTCGATGCTCTGCTTCAGTTGTTCCATCCTTTTCTTCAATCCATCCTTTGAAGAAAGATAACGGTATGCAAATTAAAGACAAAGGTTTAAAATAAAATAAACATTGTCTATGAGGTATTGCGTGATCATCATCGACACATCCAACACCATCATCATCATCATCGACACATCCAACACCATCATTATCATCATCATCATCATCGACACATCCAACACCATCATTATCGTCATCATCATCATCATCTTCACAGTGTAGCGGGTTCTTTCCAGAGCCATGCTCCCACTATGGTATGTCTGTAAGAAACTTAGTCTCTCGGTAGCTCACTCGCCTCGTGCACTTTCATATCCACGGAATCACTTATATCCTGTGTCCATCTTTATGTTGGACAGCCCCTGCCTCTCCTTCTTGGTACTATGCCTTGTGCTATTATTTTTCTTTCAATCCACCATGGCGCTTGATAGGGCCAAAATTGTTCATACAAGAAGCTTATTATTATTATTGGCCAATATTTCTGGATGTTCAGATCTTTTAGAATGTCGGTTTTCTCTTTAAGTATTGCATACATGGCACTCACCCCTATCTTTATTGACCAGTTCAATTACTGAAAAAGTCATTATTATGTTGACCGCCTTTACTTTCCAAAAGATTTTCTAGCACCCTCTCTGTCTGATAGATAGTATCACATAGTCAATATAAATGTGTTTATATATATATATATTATATATATATATATATATATATATATATATATATATATATATACATATATATATATATATATATATATTTATGTATATATATATATATATATTAGGGCTGTATCGAATAGTGATTTTCACTATTCGGCCGAATACGAATAGTGGGACCAACTATTCGGCCGAATACGAATACTAATAGTGTATCATCATCATCAGGTGTCTTGCCGGCTGGTGTTGGCGATTTTGCCTCGCCACAATCTGCTATTTCCTGCAGCATGTATCAGTTCGTGTGCTGACACACCTCCATGCCATGCAGCAAGACTGTCAAGAATCTTCTCTCGTTGTCTTTTTCTATCCCTCCTTCCACAAATCTTTCCAGTGGTCACCACATGTTCCATTTTCACTCTTCTTATAAGATGGCCGAAAAATGATGACTGTCTCCTTCTGATGTCTGCGATTAGTTGTCTTCGGGCTCCCGCCTCTTTCAAAACCGAGTGGTTGCTTTGTTTTAGGCTGTCCAAGGTATTTTAAGCATTGTTCTGTAAAACCACATCTCTGAGGCCTCAAAAAATTTTTGGCCTGGCTACCGATTGTCCAGGACTCATAGCCATATGTTAAAACTGGATGTATGCAGCAAGCAAGACAAAGATATATTACATAAGATGTTCTTTAAAAAAAAAAAAAATGCAATTTTTGCCTGTCCCATTTTTATTTTTATTTTAGTAATGCATCTTTCATCTGATTTTATCCATGTACCAAATTCGCATTTAAATCATCGTTCGTTCAGGCGTTCGTTCGATGTAATTTAAATGCACCTTCATATTCTCGTTCGCAATATCTTCAATTTGATTTGGGCAAAGACACCCCGAAAGAATGAAAAAATGCATGCTCTCTCTCTCTTTCACACACACACACACACACACACACACACACACACACACACACACATACACACACAGATACACACGCACAAAGGCAACAAAAAAGAACGCATTGCCTTTAAAAATATGTGCTTACTTGGCGAGGCTAACAGTAAATATTGTTCAGACCATATTTTCCACTTCAAAATGTGAGCAAAAATGTAGTCACAACCTTACAGAAGAGTCGGCTATAAATTGTTACATTATTAATGAGAGTTATTTCAGTCCATCCCAGTGTATGCAGAAATCACTATTCGTATTCGGCCCGACCGCCACTATTCGGCCGAATACCGAATAGCTATTAGGTCCACTATTCGGCCCCAAAGCGAATACGAAGCGAATATTCGGTACAGCCCTAATATAAATATATATATATATATATATATATATATATATATATATATATATATATATATATACATGTACATATATATATATATATATATATATACATATATATTCATACATACACACACACACACACACACACACACATATATATATATATATATATATATATATATATATATATATATATATATATATATATATATATATATATATATATATAGTTTTTTTTGGTTTGGTATTATTTTGTTTTATTATTATCAATATGTGTGTAGTATAGTAGTTAAGGCAGTAAATGGATTAGATGTGCCATTATGTATTAAGTATGACGACCGACTGTCTGGGTGGCTAGGTGACTGTTAGATTGGCTAGATGACTGACTTACAGACAGACTAAATGACTGATTATTGACTGACTGGCCCGCTGGGTAAATGATTGGCTGGTTGACTGACTGACGAACTAAACGATTGATTCCCTGAGTGACTGGCTGGCTGGGTGAATGATTGACTGACTGATTGACTGATTGACTGACTGACTGACCAGTTTGGTGACTAAATGGCTAACTAACTGTCTAATTGATTGACTGACTGATTGATTGGTTGACACTCGGACTGGCTTATGGACGTACTGAATGTCTGGCTAATTAACTGACTCGCTAACTGATTGACTGACTAGGTGAACTGCTACCTAATTGACTGACCGGGTGAATGGCTGAGTGATTGATTGACTGGCTGGATGATGACTGACTGATTGACACTGAATGATTGGCTAATTGTCGGATTGACTGACTGAATGACTGACTGGGTGAATGGCTGACTGATTGACTGGCTGACTGGCTGATGACTGACTGACTGACTAAATGACTGACTGATGGCTAACTGATTGGTTGACTCACTGACTGACTGGCTGATTAACTGACTGCCCGTCTGGCTGAATGACTGATCGTTTTCCCCCTGCTGACTGCTATGTGACAGCCTTGCGAACTAAAGGGTAGCACGTTGGAAGTCTAACCTTTCAAATTCCAGATACCCCCTTTGGTATCCACAGAATATATAATTAATGAACTTGTACAAGCATTACCAGGGTAGCCTCGACTTTCAAGGACGGGTAGGGAGAACTGGTTAGGTCTAGAAAAGAGAAAGCCTGTTTTTCAAGCAGGGGCGACGGAACCTGGGTGCTAAGCGCCAAAAGACCCCTCTCCTTTTACCGAAATTATGTGTGTGTGTGTATGTGTGTGAGTGTGTTTGTGTGTGTGTGTTTTTGTGTGAGTGTGTTTTTGTGTGAGTGTGTTTGTGTGTGTGTGAGTGTGATTGTGTGTGTGTGTGTGTGTGTGTGTGTGTGTGTGTGTGGCCAGACCGAGATATCTCTCCTCCCTCTCCGAATGTGTATGGAGTTGAGTTATCCCCAACCAACAACCGTGTATCGAAGTTCTCTTCTTTGTCTATACAGATATTATTTCTAATTTATTAATTTGATTTTCTTAGCCATCACATATCATCGTCATCATCATCATCATGAGCAATGTACTTCGATCTCTTGAGACACTTCCAACTAGGAAAAGTGTATAGGGTTAAAGCTTCCCCACTTCTCCCCCGCCCTCAACACCCAACCCCCAACGTTATTTCTCTGTGCCGCCCTTGTTCTAAAGTTATCCCCTGGGTGTGCTATAGTCTCATCTTTCTCTCCACCCGTCTATGCCAGACGCCCTTGTTCTAAAGTTATCCCCTGGGTGTGCTATAGTCTCATCTTTCTCTCCACCCGTCTATGCCAGACGCCCTTGTTCTAAAGTTATCCCCTGGGTGTGCTATAGTCTCATCTTTCTCTCCACCCGTCTATGCCAGACGCCCTTGTTCTAAAGTTATCCCCTGGGTGTGCTATAGTCTCATCTTTCTCTCCACCCGTCTATGCCAGACGCCCTTGTTCTAAAGTTATCCCCTGGGTGTGCTATAGTCTCATCTTTCTCTCCACCCGTCTATGCCAGACGCCCCACCCTCCGAATCACACGAGGAGAAGCTCAGCTCAGTGCACAAATTTCCCCTCTCCATTCGTTGGGTGTTTACTGTGAACATCTTGTAACAAACATGGTTACACAAACGCCTCAAAATAAATGTCACATAAAAAGGACATGTCAAGTACAAACAACGATAGTCTGGAGGATGTAAAAAACACCATACAATCAATTTAATCTTAGGGGCGCAGACAGTAGGGGCGCTCAATAAGGAAGTGAACACACACAATCTATGACAAATAGTTGATTTGTACCGTGCTATGGGTTCACTCTCTTCTTATAATTATTCTGAAAGCCGAAACACAACAAGTGGCTATTTGCTGAGGGTTTCAGTGCTAAACAGGATGCTGGTGTGTTTAGTCAGCCGGTCCAACGCAGTATAGCTGTGATATTTATGGCTATACGGTTGAACAGGGTTTCCGGGGGGGGGGGGAGGGGGGGGGGGAGTTAACCTATTTGATCGTCATCATTCAGACTGCAACCCTTGAGGGGACCAAAAATAAAAAGTAAAAAAAAAAAAAAAAACACATTAAACAGTTTCGAAAGCCGGTCCAAAAGAGTTATTATTCCCAGGCCGGTCTAGTTTTACAAATGTACCCGACAATATTGGAGGTAAAAGAGGCCTATGTAATGTTACCCACGTGACCCACTGAGAGTTGATTGATTTATTTAAAGAAAAAAAAAATAAATCAGTCTCGCACAATTTGCCTAACGAGCCAAGGATAGAAAAATACTCTTTACTTCCCTGTTCGGTTCCATATGTGGTGAATGAGACGGATGACCTATTGGCGTGTCTAAAGTGTTAACACGTCGTTTCCCAAGTAATCACAGAGCAAGTAGCTTCTGCTAAGACCAGGCGTATATGACAATATTTGCTAGGATCGCTACCCGGGAAAGGGCGTCTGTGGCATACGAGACAGCTCAGGAGTAATCCGATTGTCCGGCACAGATCCACTGACCAAGAAAACACGTCATTACTGCATTGTCAGCAAAGATCTAACCCTGGAAGTCTTAGAGCGGGCATCAATGATGTTTAACTCTGGGAATCGGAAAGAATCTCTCACGGTTAATTCTCCTTATTTGAATGAATCTTTTCCCCATGTGGGTTTTGGGGCCCTATTTTAGGGAAAACAAGAATAGACCCACTGCCTACCCACACGCATGTCGCAAGAGTCAACTAATTGGGAGCTTCGTTCGAACTCGGAGTGCATCTGCCTGAGAGGCAAGGAACCAGCAGTCTGCATACAAATGAGTCAAATCTGTAAAACGTATGCACACACAACACTCAGGTTCTGGAACAGGACTGCAGTCCAAAAGTGGATGAAAAACCAGAGCTTTCCTCCAGTTTACAGCTGGTGAACGCGAGGAAGGAGAAGAATGAATCTTTGACAGTTGGCTCCAGAATTTTCATGACAGTTGACGCTTGGCTCCGCGGGTTCCAAGACAGAGATTCTGACGTTTGGCACTCTCAGTTCAAAGATAATAACTCTACGGTTTCGCTGCGGGAGTTCAAAAACAATAACTGCTAGGTTTGGCTCTGGAAGTTCAAAGATAATACAAGTGTTCGCCCTCAAAAGAGCGGTGTGTTGTGGTTTACAGCTTGGCTGTTGTATCTGCGCCTTTCCTTTCAATATGTTCTGTTTAAACAAAGCCGCAAAAAAGTCGCTGTGTACGTCATACTTAACAAGGATCCGTGGGTGTTTTCTTTCTCCCTCTATAAAAAAAATCGGGTACTGGAACATTCGGGGGAGGCCTGTGAATCTCAAAGACAGCGTCTATGACGTTTAGTTCTGTGAGTTGGAAATACAGTGTCTGTGACATTTAATAGTGTGAATTTGCAAGGCAGTGCATGCCATTGACAACATCGCTTCTGCCCAGTACTGGACCAACCATATCGTCTGCAAGATCTGCATACTCGTGGCTTCGAACATGTACAGATTAAGACTATCCCGGCCACTTCGCAGAAATGTTTAGTGACACAATCTATTCTTGTAAATGATTGTTATAAACCGTGTGAATAAATTAATGCTATGATTGAGTTAGTGACTGGATGTAAAACAACGTAATACTGTAAATCAATTAATGACTGCCTCAGTAAATGAGTGTTTTAAATTTTAAGTGTTGTGCTATAAATCATGAGTGTTATAAATAATGAGTGTTATAATCCTGATTGCTATAGATCTTAAGTGTCATAAATCTTGAGTGTTATAAATCCTGAGTGTTATAAATCATGAGTCTTATAAATCTTGACTGTTATAAATCCTAAAAGTTATAAATCCTGAGTGTTTTAAATCATGACAGTTTGAAATCACGAGTGTTATAAATCTTGAGTGTTATAAATAATGAGTGTTATAAATCTTGAGTGTTGATCTTATATAGGGCAGACAATGCGAAAGTTATATTTCAAAGACCAGTCAGTGAGTGAGTGAGTGAGTGAGTGAGTGAGTGAGTGAGTGGGTGAGTGAGTGAGTGAGTGAGTGAGTGGGTGGGTGAGTGGGTGAGTGAGTGAGTGAGTGAGTGAGTGAGTGAGTGAGTGAGTGAGTGCCTGAACAAAGGCATGCACAGGCAGATATAATTAAAGGAAGGGGTCTCCACGGCCAAGTGGCATAACCGTTTACCTCGCGTTCTGAAGGTCGCAGGTTTGTTTCTCTGTTGCCTCGTTCGGTTTACGAGTGTAATTTTTACAGAGACCGCCGAGGAATCGTTGCCGGAGACAAGGTGGTGGTGCTTGGTGCTACAATCTCGACAGACGGCTAGCCGTTTTGTGGAGAAAGACCGAGCCGTATCGGATAAAGCCAGGTGCGCAATGGAAGTCTATCCTCTCTTCAACTTCAACTTTCTCACTAGTAAAATCAAAAGTATCTAGTTTAAAGAAAGACTATTTGGCAATTGTGGCGAACAGACAAAAGTAAACGAACAATGTCATCAAGGAGAACATTAGACAAAAGTAAACGAACACTGCCATCAGACAGTGGTGGCCTCCTGCACACGGCAAAACTGGAAACTCCATCAGCTGGGGGTTTCAGAAGATCAACATTCCAGATTTCCACGCCTCTTTCAACCGACAGACTTTAATTAGAATCTTGTCGATAAGCAAACTCAACTTGAAATTACAAATACATTTTAAAAATGAAATTTTCGATCGCAGGGCTGTATGTGTATACTAGGGATAGAACTCTAGATGCTGCAGACTTTAAAGGGTGGCAAAGATTCAGGCCAAAGAATCAGTTCGACAAAAGACGAATAAGATTGTCAACAACTATGGAGATTACAAGGCGCCGACATCGACTTGTTCCTTTCAAGATGTAATAGAGTATTCATAATTCTCAGACGAGGTCTGCTGCCAAAGCTGGTCTTTTTCAGGGATTATGAATGTCAGATTTGGCCTGCCACACGTCAAAAATCTGTCGGAGCCGAGGTGGCGCCATAGCCTGCGGTCTTGCATGCCAGCATGGGGGTCATATTTGAGAAAAGTAATACAAAAGGGAATATTTTTTGTTTGATAACCTAAGAGAAGATATCAGACAAAACGCAAATAGAACCTTTGAGCTTCGTAATATTACAAACAGAAACAAGTAAAGGTTGCGGCTCGAGAGCTTTCATCAGCACATTGCATATATATATGCTACCACCTGTGCAAACTAGAATACATTTAATCACATAACTGATGTATCTTGGATTAAAATCACATTTCTGTTTGGGGGTCTCCGTGGCGAAGTAGTCAAGCCGTTTGCCTTGCGCTCTGAAGTTCATGGGTTTGTTTTATGGCTGCATGGTGACTTTTTTAAATTTTAGCTGCGGAGTTCGTGCTCTGTGCGATGCTCTTGGCATGTGGCAAGACGTTCTACGGAGAGAGACCGAGCCATGTGGGACACAACCTGGTGCGATGAAGTCGATTCTCTCGACTTTAACCTTTAACCCTTTTAATATTGTCTGGCCAGTAGAATAGCTGACATGTCTGTGGCCACCGGAAATAAATACTGGGAAGAAAAAGCTGCGAGAAAATACGGCCGTAACTCAAAGATATTAGATTACACAGTTTTGGGTGTTAGGTCTCATAGGTAAATTGGCGCCTATGAGATGGATAATGAGATTCTGGTGAGACTTATGGGTTGTTAATAGGGTGACCAGATTTGACGGCCGTAACCTCCATGTTGAGAATATCATGGTGATCCCAAGAACTGCAACGCAACGTTTCTGCTTTGATAACTCAGCCTAAACTTCAAACAAAACCGCCTACAAAGAAACGAAAGACACGAAGACAAACATGCGGAAGAGGCACCAACGTATCTACAAACAGTCTAGTCTGGTACTTACCTGTGCTTTTGTCTGCTCACCCACAAGGATGACGTCGCGTGTAGCGTCGTGGATGGGGATGTCCGAAATATAGATGCCTTTCCCGATAAGTTCTTCCAGCTTCTCCACACTTGGGGAACCCAGGAACAGGATACAATGAGTCTCTTGCAAGAACAGCATCTGGCCCTTCAGCTCAAGGTTCTGGTCGGAAAACTTCAAAACATTAAAAACAGGAAGTACACAGAACAAGGGAAGCCACTCTTACTAAAACAGAGGACACCAGAAGTGTAGCATCAGAATGGCGTGTGCGCATGTCTGTTGGTCCAGATGTCGTAAGGTCAAGTATATCAATGGCAAAGATTTAAATCCACTGGTCTCCTAAGCCAGCGGAGCTATACATGGCTATTTTACGTTTTCAAGCTTATTAGGTATATAGGGCTGGACCTAAATTTTATAAAGCAATTGGAACTCGGTGGGTGATGTGGTCACCATTACACCGGCCTTCTTTACTTCCCAGGACTTTACCTGGTACCTATTTAAGGCTGGATTGAACTGGGAACCAAGATCATTATAAAAAAATTTCCGCTTCCTTTAGGATATAAACCTACGTCCTTCTGATCCGCAGACAAGCGTCTAGCCGCTGTACAACAACGGCTGAACATGAGCATGAGAAAATTCTGGGAAGTAATGACAATCAAACTGATATAAGTCATAAAATATTGACTGGTCTAATCAAACATGGCGCGGGCACAAAATAGCAAATATCCCCCAAGAAATGGAAAAGATTTTAAATTTTCCTTTTTTTTTTTGGGTCTAAATCTTGCATACAAGATATGTATGCATGAACTGTAACCGAGTTTTTCTAGAACTATCAGTCAGGAGATAGAATATTGTGTATTAGTTAAATGGACTGGAAAAATTAACAGGTCTTAGCAGCCTTGACATTCCTTTTCTAGAACCATCACTTTCTTTTTTAATTGACAGAGAGATATTTTGTAACTGAATAATCTATAAATAGTATTTGATGTAATGTTTTTAAAGTGCTCTTTCAAAGAGAACGTAATAGTGTTCGCTTTATGGAAGACACCAGAAGGTCAACTGTCCATTTAATTGGCGTATTTTGGTAAGGGTTATTTGATGCAATAGAGATGTTATTAGAAATTCCCACGTGAGAACGCACATAGTAATTATGTTTTCGTATGCAAGACCTCCGTGTGGGTTCCGGGGCCCTATTGTGGGGAAAACAAGAATAGACCCACTGCCTCCCCAAAAGCATGTCGTAAGAGTCGACTAACTGGGGAGCTTCCTTTGAAGTCGGAGTGCATCTGCCTGAGAGGCAAGGAACCAGCAGTCTGCATTCAATTGAATCAGATCTGTAAAACTGATGCACACGCAACACTCAGGTCCTGGAGCATGACTGCAGTCCAGAAGTGGACGAACAACCAGAACTTTACGCCAGAGTGTACAGCTGGTGAACACAAAGAAGAAAGAAGAAGTATGCAAGAATCTTCCAGAAGCACAAGTGAGTATACAAACCCATACCATGCATTCCAGCATTTCAGAATATATAGTAGATAAGAAAACACTTGAGCATTCTTCAGTCTACAAAACTTGGAAGAGGAGGGACTAGCAACATGACCCTCAAAGACGAGAATCTTCAACCTTCAATCAACAAGATAGAAGAAGGTGGAATAGTTACATGCCCCTCGCAGATGAGACCTTTCAGTAACTGAAACTTAGAAGCAGAGGAATCAGTCATATTGAGGCTCAAACACAGGCACAAGTGAAGAAACATGAAACGTGACATCGAACTACAGAGACAGCAGACAGGATACATGGATGCTTGTTCAACAGAGACCCATTAGATAGAAACATTGTTAAGATATCGGAGTCAACTATGAAACTGTTAGTACCAGACAGAACTAGAAGCCAAGCAGTAGTTATAGACATTCAGTTAACAAAGTAACAAGAGATGAAGAATACAAGGCGACCTCAAGAGTATGTAGCCATAGGAAGAACAGAGAGCCTTTTAAAATATCATTGATGTTGTTTGTGACATTGATGGGGTATCACAATAAAGACAGTATAGAGCAGAAGAGTTGTTTCAAGACATTTTATTATTTAAGCATCAGAGACATGAAAGTATAAACCAAGCATAAGAGACCATTATCATCACCACTATCTACACGACCATCTTTCTCCTTGTCTATATTTTTCAATTGACTCTTTCAGTAGCAAGCTAAAGATGAACCTGGGTGTGACATCGTACACAAATAAGACAGCTGTGCTACCGTATGTCTAAATCACGAAAGATGAACATATGCATACACACACGCATACACAAAACTAGTTAACGCGCACACACACAATACAACCACACACACAAACGCTTGCGCTCTCACAATACAGCCAGACACAAACACACACACGCGCGCGCTTTCACATAACTTTAAAACAACTTACATCAGAGAGTCGGTGGTTGGACAACCCTTTCGTGCGAACAACAAAACTGGAATTGACCCTGGAAAGGATGGAAGACCAGCTGAACTTGACCTTCGGTTTCAGAACATCGAAGTAGGTCGACAGGTGTTTCCCTTTGATGGAGACGTTGGGAGTAATCATTTTTGCCAAGGTGGTCCCCAGCTGGGTGATGTTCAAACTTTCATCAAAGACAACATGAAAGGGGAAACATGCGCAGAAGGTGCGCACGCCAATCTTCAGGTCACGTGGGTTGGAGGACATATTGATGCGGCCCGGAAGCAAGATGGATATATGGCGGTCGTTGTTGTTGCTGGAGGTGATGATGTAGAAAATATGGTGAGGGGAGGTAGGGTTTTTGCTGGGGGAGATCTCTAGCTTGAGTTCGCTGTTGAAAAGGAAGGAAGCGACGCCCTCAACGGTACCAGCGACAAAACTGAGGATGCCACGACGGGGAGAGTAGTAGTGAAGGGTGAGGTTCTCTTTCTTCCACTCACAGCGGAAGGAGGGAGGAGTCTGTCCTTGGAAACGAGTGTATTCCTGTAACTGTAACATCCAATAGTCATATTTAGTTAGTATCAACAGCCAGTAATGAATTAAAAATTATAAACGAAGAGGTTCGCCATAAAATTATACAGCACATTGGCAACTATGAACCTCTTTTAACTACAGTTAAAAGTCGAAAAATGCAATGGTACGAACATGCACTAAGATCTAAGGCCTCTCAAAGACAAGACTGCAGGACTCAGTAAAGGAAAAGAGGAGAAGAGGCAGACCAAGAAAGACCTGGTTACAGAACCTGAATGACTGGACAGGCCTCATGCATGCAACCATGAAGTCCATCACAACTGACCGCCAAAGGTGGAGAGAGCTGATCAGTCAGTCAACAGAAGCTGGTGACCCAACGACACCTAGTGTTAAGGGATGATTAGGATGATGATGATAATTAATGAATTATTATTATTACTATTATTATTACTTTAAAATCTCATTTTGCACTTGACAAGATTCTGCTAAAAATCCTAAATACTTTATTCGTCTTAAATGGACGCGAAAGCATAATTAAAATGTCACCAGTTTACAGCATAGCTGCGATATTTGCGCCACACGATCGACATGAACTTAACCGTCATCTGTTACTTTGGTTAGAATTCCAGATTACAGTCCGTTTCAAAACTTATGCCCGCACACTTAAAAAACATTTCCAAAATTCCTGTACGGCTCAACACACATTTTTTACACATGACCCTAAATTTCCCACGCCCTTATGATTCTATAATCTATAACTGCGCAGATGCCGCTTTTTTCCTTAAGCGGTGAAATTGTTTGATCTTTGTTTCTTGTTTTATTTCTGTACCCCTAAAAAAAAAAAAGAAAATAACCGTAATTGACACACGTGCGGAGATTATTTGGAAATCATTTCAACAGATGCTTGGCGATTATTTTGTAAACCTATACCCCACTCAATGAAAAATCTGCAACTCACAGGAGACTTATGCTGGAGATGACCAGCGAAGACTGAAACACATAAGAAAGGCGTGCAATATGATGTTTCGAAAAGTTGCCCTTACTCAGTTTACTTAGTTACAGTAAGCAGGCTGATTACTTGATTGCAATCGGTGTCTGTTTATTTCTTTCCTTATACATGGCAAACAAAAAGGCAAACTAAAAACTAACTGTTGATTACATGAAACAAATTCGGCATGTGATGTTTCAACAACCTACACCGAACGATTACGAGTCACAGATTGTTTAAAGTTCGGCAGAACTTCTGGAACCGACTATAACTTCGTGGTACACGGTATGGCCTCAATGTTGCATCATGTGTTTACTTCCTCATCCAAAAGTGGTCCACCCCTCTTCTCCCCCAGGCATACCCCCTCCACCCCTTCCCCTCCCTCCGCCCGATGCGGCAGGCTGAGAGCAGCCACGCGATGATGATGGTCAGCTGTCAAGAGAAGGCCGGGCAAACTATGAGCATTTCCCGCCTTTTTACAGAAGTTTGATTAAACAGAGAGCCAATACATAACGCTATAGCATACTTGTTATGCTGTGTTATCACAAACGATGTCACTGCATTTTGGGCTTTCCCATACGTGCTCAATCCTCTGATACAGCAGCCACTCCAAGGCACTTCTGCTCTGTCAACTGTTCCCACGAAGAGCTGGTTATAATTTCTCCTATGTTGGCCTCGAATGCTGCAAAGACGTTCTTCATCAAGTTTTACTCCCATAACACGCAATCGTGTTAGCTTCAGAGTTTCGTCGTTACCCACTAAACTAGTCCTTACAGCGTTGGTGACATCTGCTCTGTCCATGCATTCCACATGCCTTGGTGCATTGCTTGGTCCGCTCGATCCTTACCTTTTACGCCAGCATCGTCAGGTGTGCAGATCCAGGTGATGGAGGCCAAGTGCGACATTAGGATACTTTCTATCCCCACAGAGTGCATGTTACCTGTTATATTTTCTAAAGCATATTCATGGAGTCTGATACGATTATTGCATAATCGTCACCTCCTGCTCATGACTGCTTAACCTCACATCCGTATATTGAGCCTTCCGTCCATCACTATCTGTGCCTTCAGAGTTCCACAGGAAGCAGGTATAACTGCAGCCTAGGTGTGCTCCGGCGATTCGGGACCTCTGTAATCCCCTGATATAGTACAGGACCCTTTTTCACGCCTTTAGGCGAATAGGGCATATAGGGCTAGATCTATATTTTATAGACCAATCAGCACAAGATGGGTGATGTGGTCAGCATCACACCGGCCACCTTTACTTCACAAGATTGCACCCGGCACCCACTCAAGGCTGGGTCGACCTGGGAGCCCGGGTCATTTTTTGAAAAAAGTCCGGCTCCGCCAGGGAGCGAACCCACGACCTTCCGATCCGGAGCAAGCGTCTAGCCGCTCCGCCACGGCGACTGCGAATCTCCTAATGTGCCTCTGCACAATTGTAAAGTTCCTATTCCTGTCTTGGAAAAGGTGATGATTGCTGGGCTTGAGCGGCGGATCAGAAACTTGTCAGTGAGACCTCTTGCATGTGGCTTTTGGTAACGTCTTAATAAGGAAACAGTGGCGAGGTGCGATCAGTTCGCATCTGTAAATGTTAGCAGGTAACGATTGTAGTGGAGAAGCTATCACGTGATATTTTCCTCCTAGTCGCTTTGCTGTTTAGAATATAGCATTTTAGAACTAGTAACTGATAGCTTTGACACGACAGTTTCTGCCTGAGTCGCGTAAGCATGCAGCTACTTTCGAGACGTAAACAGAATGGTGTATTTGTAATAAATAGTAAACTGTAATAATAAAAAGTAACATATTATCTGTGGCAATGGAACGTTCTAGCAACGACTGCAACCGTTAGGTGCAAGCCTCGCCAGTGAGTGCAAGTGTGTGTTTGTGTGTGCGTCTATTTGTTTACTGACCCATCTGTCTATTTATCTGACAGTGTTCACCTGACTATGCCTGTCTGGGTTTATTTGTCTGCCTGTCTACATATGTATGTCTATACCTTTATGTATATGTGTCTGAGTTTGTCTGCCTCTCTACATATGTAATTCTCTACCTTTATGTATATGTGTCTGAGTTTGTCTGCCTGTATACATATGTATGTCTATACCTTTTTGTATACATGTCTAACTTTGTCTGCCTGTATACATATGTATGTCTATACCTTTTTGTATACATGTCTAACTTTGTCTGCCTGTATACATATGTATGTCTATACCTTTTTGTATACATGTCTAACTTTGTCTGCCTGTATACATATGTATGTCTATACCTTTTTGTATACATGTCTAACTTTGTCTGCCTGTATACATATGTATGTCTATACCTTTTTGTATACATGTCTAACTTTGTCTGCCTGTATACATATGTATGTCTATACCTTTTTGTATACATGTCTAACTTTGTCTGCCTGTATACATATGTATGTCTATACCTTTTTGTATACATGTCTAACTTTGTCTGCCTGTATACATATGTATGTCTATACCTTTATGTATATGTGTCTGAGTTTGTCTGCCTCTCTACATATGTAATTCTCTACCTTTATGTAAATGTGTCTGAGTTTGTCTGCCTGTCTACATATGTATGTCTCTACCTTTCTGTAAGTGTGTCTGGGTTTATTTGTCAGCTTGGCTATAAAAGTCTAATCTTTTCTTCTCCTTCTTTGCGTTCACCAGCTGTAAACCCTGGCGGAAAGTTCTGGTTGTTCATCTAACTCTGGACTGCAGTCATGATCCAGATCCTGAGTGTTACGTGTGCATCCGTTTAACAGAATTGACTCATTTGTATGCAGACTGCTGGTTTCTTGCCTATCAGGCAGATGCAGTCCGACTTTAAAGAAAGCTCCCAATTTGTCGACTCTTACGACATGCTTTTGTGTAGGCTGTTGGTCTATTCTTGTTTTGCCCAGAATAGGGCCCCGAAACCCACACGGGGAAACAGTCTAATGAATACACACAGTACACAGCTCACCTGGTCCTGGAGACCGTCGATGTTGCTGAAGAACTCCAACAAGTTGCTGCCCAACAACCTGAGGACTTTGCCGTAGTCGGCCAGACACAGCTTGAAGTAGTCCCTGCCCATGGCCCGCAACACCTGTTCCTGTGTCATACCTGGTAGGTACATAGACAGGTAACTGTATCATTTAAAGAAAAGAACAGTCAATAGACAGGCAACTGTATCATTTAAAGAAAAGAACAGTCAATAGACAGGCAACTGTATCATCTAAAGAATACGCCAGGCTATAGACAGGCAACTGTATCATTTAAAGAACAGACTATAGACAGGTAAATGTATCATTTAAAGAACAGACCAGTCTATAGAAAGGCAACTGTATCATTTAAAGAATACACCAGTTTACCTAGTGACGACACAATAATGGTCCCAAAGCCAAAGGCTAGTGACTTTGTGGCGATCTGGTCTGACATAATCGGTGTCATTTTTGTGTTGGTCCGGGAAATGAGCAAGGCTGATAGGCTTGCAAGAGAAGGACGGATGGGCTATGGACAAGGCTGATTGACTTGCAGGTAAAGGACCCTTGGGCCATGGACTAGGCTGATAGGCTTGTAGGTGAAGGAAAGGACAGGTGGGCCATGGACCAGGCTGATAGGCTTGTAGGTGAAGGACGGATGGGCCATGGACTAGGCTGATAGGCTTGCAGGTGAGGGACGGATGAGTCATGGACTAGGCTCAAAGGCTTGTAGGTGAAGGACGGATGGGCCATGGACTAGGCTGATAGGCTTGTAGGTGAAGGAAAGGACAGGTGGGCCATGGACCAGGCTGATAGGCTTGTAGGTGAAGGAAAGGACGGGTGGGCCATGGACTAGGCTGATAGGCTTGCGGGTGAAGGAAAGGACGGGTGGGCCATGGACTAGGCTGATAGGCTTGTAGGTGAAGGAAAGGACGGATGGGCTATGGACTAGGCTGATAGGCTTGCGGGTGAAGGAAAGGACGGGTGGGCCATGGACTAGGCTGATAGGCTTGTAGGTGAAGGAAAGGACGGATGGGCCATGGACTAGGCTGATAGACTTGTAGGTGAAGGAAAGGACAGGTGGGCCATGGACCAGGCTGATAGGCTTGTAGGTGAAGAAAAGGACGGGTGGGCCATGGACTAGGCTGATAGGCTTGCAGGTGAAGGAAAAGACGGGTGGGCCATGGACTAGGCTGATAGGCTTGTAGGTGAAGGAAAGGACGGATGGGCCATGGACTAGGCTGATAGGCTTGCGGGTGAAGGAAAGGACGGGTGGGCCATGGACTAGGCTGATAGGCTTGTAGGTGAAGGAAAGGACGGATGGGCCATGGACTAGGCTGATAGACTTGTAGGTGAAGGAAAGGACAGGTGGGCCATGGACCAGGCTGATAGGCTTGTAGGTGAAGGAAAGGACGGGTGGGCCATGGACTAGGCTGATAGGCTGGCAGGTGAAGGAAAAGACGGGTGGGCCATGGACTAGGCTGATAGGCTTGTAGGTGAAGGAAAGGACGGGTGGGCCATGGACTAGGCTGATAGGCTTGCAGGTGAGGGACGGATGAGTCATGGACTAGGCTGATAGGCTTGCGGGTGAAGGACGGGCGAGCCATAGACCAGGCTGATATACTTAATGTGCTCCGAGAAGTAAGAGGTTTGCGAGAACCAAGTGACCTAATTTGCAACCATGACCAGACTACAAAAGCAGAAAATTAAAAGGAGTGTGGCCAGACAAGAGCAGTACGCAGGCAGTCAAAGAAGAGTAAGAAATCAGCACATAACTTGTGTCGTCAGAAGCTACACGCTGCGTGATTTACTGAGGAGGGGATCTGGGCACTTATGGGCTGAATGGTTTGATGTGCAGTGAGACTTACTAACATTATTCCTAGAACCTACTAGTCGACCAGGGCCATGAGGAAAACAAAGGAACAGTAAGGTCTGTTGTCTTTCACGCATGCCGAGTTCCTAAAAAGAGAAAACAGTATTTAAGGCTGATATAAGAATAGAAAGACAGCAGAGGCTGGGAAGGCATAGAAGGAAGATTCAGGACAGCAAAGGATGTGTAGGCTGAAGCTCTAAAACTTGTTTGTGAGATATACAGCACGAGAAGACTAGAAAAAAAAAAACCAACTGACGAAGACGACACCCCTTCCCCTTCATTATTATATTCTGTGAACAAGTGAGCAGAGAAGGGAATCAAGAAAACAGGCACTGCAATAGGAAACCAGTGGATTATGAAATCGAGTACAGCCTACAGAAACCGTGAAACAAACGTTTACGAGAGAGACCAAAGATGCTGGGTTTGATTAAATTAACGATATTGCACAGGATACAGTGGAGTGGAGGGACGGATGCCATGCCTGTGTGGCATACAGACGGCACAAGAGAATAATCAGGATGATGATGATGATGACTACTATGGTGATGGTAATGAATGAGTGAATGAATGAATGACTGTAATGAAGTGGACAGCGATTGTAGCATCCACCAGTCTTCTCATATTCATTCTTTTTTTCCTTCACATCCATGAATTTCACATCAATACCAAATAATTCATTAGTTATGAAATATTTACATTGTAAGTACAGGACTCCTCGACTTACGACGGTGGTCCATTACTACTAACAAGTCGTAAGTCGAGCTCGTCGTAAGCTAAATTAAAAAAAAATGTAACAGTTTTCCTTCAAATAGATTACAAAAATTATTTATAAAACACGCTGAATTTGTAAATTTTTCATCACTATTTTTATTCACATGGATTACAAAAATTTTACATAAAACAAAAAATTCAGTTTATGTTATTAAAATGTGTGTACATATTGTACTCCAGGCAACAGTTCCGGTAAATATTGACACTACAAACGTAATCTGACTGTATCATTGTTATTTATTTATTTTTCTGTTGTGGTCGTAAGTGCTGATAGTTGTAAGTCGCATGTGTCGTAAGGCGAGGAGAAAGTGTACTGTTTGTTACTTTATCTAAAATGCTATTACTTCACTGAAGACACCAACGATTATTTACGTCCAGACGGCCATTTGCAATCACGTGGTCTCACCTAATCTCTCCGAAGCTTTCAAGGCCATGTCCAGAATGACCTCGTCGCTGATTGGCTTATGTCTCCGGCTATGGTCATTGAATGACCTCTGTAGAAGTTCATCACCAAAAAGCTCCATTGAGTCATTCCTGTGAGTGAGAGAGTGCAACATGGAGGGTGGGGTGGGGGGGGGGGATAAACTAATTAATTAATAACTTCTTCGATATTACCAGTCATCCACAGAACAAAAGAACGAACAAACGTACTTTACTTACAAGTGTAAGACACTGGGTCGGACTTCCGTCTTACCTTTGGCCCTTTCAAGTACTCATCTTTTAGGCTATTGCATTTTTTTAAATCAAACATCTTGAGTTCATTTTTCAAAATTCATAGTATGAATGTAAAGTAAAAATTCAAAAGCACAGATGGCAAAGGCATACCTTTAAATACACAGCCAAATGCTGTACTGAGGTGAATGGAAAAAAATATGCTTCATACAAAACAATTCGACTGGCCTTCAAATGAAAACGCTAAATCAGTGGAAGAAAATTAAAATACACAAGCCGTTGTCTTGACCGGACGATGTTGTTGACCAGCAAGTGTGTAAAGTATTAAAAGTATCTAAGACATTTCACCGGCTACAATTGACTGTGCGGTCACGACCCAGTGTACCTTACCCGGTCGTGAACAGTCTGTCGGACCGTTTTGAAACTTCATGGACTGACTGGAGCTTCAATTATCGATGAATTTCAACAGATTTGACTTTTACACTAATTGAACAACGGATAAGATAACGCAACTCCCCTTTGATGCACTGAGCGGCCAGCTCTAAACTAACTTTACTACGTCACTGTGTTCGTCAGCACAGTGATGTCGCGTGCTTTACACTCTTGCCATTCTTAACAAAAAATTGACACGTTACAAGACGATGACGTAGTTATTATGATTTCTATAACCCCTTAAAAGTTGTCTAATATTAGAATGGAAGGATATAGTCATAAATTGATTTGACCTATCTACCCGCATGGCTTGTGGTAGTATTTGCGTACTGAGTTATAGTGCCAGCTTTGATAAACTTATTGGTTTTCGCCTCTTCTTCTTCTTCTTCTCGGCGATCACTGAGTGTCAACTTCGGTGGAAAGTCCTGGTCGTTTGCTCATTCCCGAATTTTCTTGTTCTAGGACTGGAATGTTGGGTGCACATCCGTTTTACAGATCAGGGTTATGTGTGGGCAAACCCATTTACCAATCTGCCAGCCAAGCATTCAATCAACCAACCACATGTTAAAGTTCCTTCAGTCTAACAAAGGGACTAAAGAGTTATTTTTTAATGTCCCCTGAGCATTTAGCGTATGAAACTAGGCTGATATTTGTATAGACCATTCGTAATCCTTGCCGCGTCTGTGGCTTAGGCGTTGCGAGTCCGACTCCTAATTCCAACGTACCGGGATCGAAACCCACTGCTGGCTGCGAAGATTTTTATCATGGTATGGGGCGTCTCAATTCGACCCAGCCTTTAATGGGTATCAGTATGATGTCACGGGGAAGTAAAGACGACCGGCGTAATGCTGGCCATATTACCCACCTAGTGCCAATTGGCCTGTAACAATATGTTGCTCTTCCCATATGCCCGATGCGCCTAAGGCGTATGACTTTTTCAACTTACTTTATTCGGAATCTGACAAAGGATGTGATCAATATGAACCTGGTCGCCTTTACTTCCGAAGAGATGTCCTAGCACCAATTCTAGGCTGGCTCTACGTGGTAGGGGGAACCGCTATAGTGTAGCGCTTAGACGCTTACCTGCTGATGGGAGGTCGTGGGTTCCTTTCCTCTCAGGCGGATATACCAAGTAAACGTTGATGGTAACTCTGCTGGCCAGGCCCCCGGTTGGGAACCCGTGTCTAGGATGACCGGGGAGAGGTGTCCGTAGGTCTTGACCAGTGTCAGCCCTGGTGTCCCGCCACGTGTGGTCAGTATCTCCCTACCCTAGAGGGGTGTGAAACTCGCTGCTACCTAGATACCTCTCTACGGGAGATTGATGCGTTCATCTCAAAAGTGGACATCCCTCCCCACCCCACTTCTACCGTGGCCATGTCAGCTATAGTGTCGGA